TCTCTCTGTCTCTCTGTGTTTTTGAGACAGGATCTCACTATGTGACTCCGGCTAGCCTTGAACTCCCCTTGTAGTCTAGGCTGGGCTTCAGCTTCAGCACATGGTGGTCCCACTGCCTCAGTCTGCTGCGTGCTGAGATTACATGCACACATCTCGCCCAGCCTTCTGGTGCTTACTGACATAGTTCTGCTACTGTATCTTTTTTGCTATTTCTAGATCTAGTGTATTTACATCTAGTGTATTTATGATGTTTACATCTATTTTCCAAAACTAATTTTACCACGTAGTGTCTCTAAGTCACTACTAATAAAATCATGTCGTGTCTCTAACTCACTACTAATAAAAGAGAGAACAAAATTTTACCAGAGAAAAAAATTGAAAATATAATGCTATTTTAAGGATAATTTAATTACATGTCTAGGTATGCAATACATAGAAAGAAAAAGGTGTGTTTAAAATGTTGGGCTGTAGATAATGTTTCCTGAAGAACTGCCCCCGAAGAGTGTCTTTCCTTGTTTTCCTGTGCTGGGCTCGGAGCAGGGCCTTGCCTGTGCGTGGGAGGCAAATGTCCAACCGCCTGCCCCGCATGATGCACGGAGGCAGCAGCCTGGGCTGATTGGAAGGCAGCTTTCCAGTTCCTTGTTCTGTTTCTAGGGTTTATGATCCTTGCTGGACTACTACTTATTGGGATACTTATTTTGATTAAGCTCTCCCCCTAAAGGTAGAACGTAATTTTACATTTAAAAGAAAAAGTTAAAGAATTTCACGTTCAAGTAAGTCAGAGAACTGCTTTAATGTGCTAACAACTGTGGTTCTGGCTATTTTCTTTAAGTTCTTAATTCAGTATTTTAATAATGTATAGTCTTCATCCAATAATATGAAGAGGATTTCTTTTTTTCACTTTATACTTTTTCTATAAAGATAATATTAGTGCACTATATTTTACTGGTTTATAACTTTGATGGTTCATTAATAAATTGTCCTGCTTAAATATGCTTTACTTAGTGCATATATTATTTCAAATAAATAAATATTCTAGCTAAGTATTTTAATTGACAAAAGTGATTTAAATTCATCCATAAACCAGAATATTTGAGAACACTGTTTCATTTCAGATGTTTTAAAATTCAAAACCATACCCTAAAACTAACCAATCAGGGCCGGAGAGATAGCCCAAAGGTCTCAGGGCCTGCCTGGCAAGTGCAAGGATGTTCCCTGGTGCTACATGTGCCAGCCCCGTGTGAATGCTTAAACTGGGCGAGGTGGCACATGCATGTAATCCCAGCGCTTGGGCAGCTGAAAACAGGGGATCACTACGAGTTTGATCTGTGTAGTGAGACCATGTAGACCCTGTACTAAATGCAGTAAACATTATGTAACATTATGATGTTACGAGTCCGAGCTGCATAGTGAGACCCTGTACCAAATACATAAAGCAATTAAAAATACTATTATATAATATG